GGCTTGTTTTACAACGTCGTTGCCAAGCGACGAAAACCCAACCCCGATGGTAAACACCGGGGAGGAGGGAGGGGGGGCGTTTTGGAAATGTTAGTCAGGCCGAGCGGGGAGGGGATAGTGAGGACAATAGACGCCTTCATCTACAAGGGTGGGTCCGGTGAGTAGCCTGCTCCTTCCTACTCTACACAGCAGCGTTAAGGAAGACATCGTTTTAACTCCCAAAAGGGCGCCAGATTCATTCAACCTCGTCGGGCAGGACGGAGTGATGGGGATGAAGGGAAGGGTATCAGTACTTCCCCACACACAACATTCCCACCAACCAACGCTTAACAATTCGTAACGCACGAGAGTAGGGAATCGAACAGATTTTCACATCTTGCCAGTCGTGTTAAATGCCCCACGGTTGGGTATATTTGGGGATTAATAGGGTATTCCTTGGTCAAAAAGCGACGCAGTCGGGTGCACTTTTTTTATCAGAGTGACATGAGCCTACGCCCACTATTTTCCTGCCGTGTCCCATAAATCCCGGGGAACTGCCGGCCGCGGCTACTTTTCCCTGCAGTTGTACCCCGATTTTTAGGAAACGTCCCCGACCCGGACGGGAAACAAGTTCCCTCCCGTCTTCTCCGCAGAAATCGCTTTCTGCTCCTGCCAAGGGACATCAAATCTCGAACCTTCCAGCTCCATGCGGAATGTGCACTAGACATTCTACTGTTGCGCAGAAGTAGTGGCGTCCAGATACCGCTACACTGACCCTGGGAGTGCACAAACATGCATCATGAGGTGTTAAACAGCACAGACGGTACACGACAGTGCTATTTAGTGCTGCTGTTCGACTGGAGATGCCACGAGAAGACCCAGATGTTTTCAACACGACCGTTGCATGTGCACCACGGCCGTCGAGCTCTTACTCTACCCGCGTTCCTGACTTGGTTCAAAGTCACCGGATTCGATTCCCATAAACCTGATTCTAACCTAAGCCTTGGCCCTATCCCAAAAGCGCTCAAGCCAAACGCGCGATAGTTAAGTGAAAGGTCATGTTCTTTGTCTTGCAGGTTCGCGATATACTGCCCTGACAAGCTCAACCGCCGTCTGGAGGCAGCACCTACTCTCGGGTCGAAGATTTTTCGATGCCGCTTTCAGCTTAACTTTGATAGGTCGCCCCGCCCCCGGCCCCCTCACACGCAGCCTCACGACCCACAGCCACGCGCTCTTGACGGATGACACCATTTGAACCAAATCACCGTGTTGAAGGACGTGATGTTCTTGTCTGTGCTACCGGTACACGAAGACGACGACATGATATGGTAGAGGGCGGTCCCTTCACCCCCCACGTAGTGAGTGCCGGGGATGACCCCGCAGCCGAACTCTCTTGGTGTGTTGGTATGCACTTATTTTGTGGCAACCCTCCACGGCGTTGATAAGAGTCGCCCTCCTGTCAGACCACGCGCGAGTCAACCAAAGGAAAACGCACGGTTGCTGAATGCCGTGCACTGCATTCACAAAAGACAAGAGAGGTAGACAAACCTCATCGGTGCTGGGGTGAGAGGAAGCCTCGACAACGGTGTGCACCACAATTGTCAGAGAGGAACACAATCCCTGTGGGTGGGATCTTCCAAGCTGAATCCATCCCTGTATTTTACACCAGAAAAGGGGGTTGTTGCCAATCAGACATATGTGTAGGTTGCAAGCACAAACAAAGCCATATAGTCTATTGTGGAAAAGAGGGTTTCGTCCTCGACAGACGTTGGGGAGTTTCAACCTTTATGAAGGTGTTCTCCACATTACCCCCCCCTTTTTCGAGGCTTCTTCTTGTTTGCTAGGCAAGAGAAGTCTTCTCGGGGTAACCGGAACCCGACCGGCTGGCGGCGAGTAGAACCCCCTTTTTTTCCAACAATCTTCTGTGCGTGTGTGCGGGTGCGCCACTTCCGCCACACATTGCCAGAAGTTTCGAGTTCGATAGACAGTGCATCGTTTCTTGGCCCACCCACCGTTTTTCTTTTTCCGTGTACTCCGGAAGAAAATTAGGTAAGCAGCAGGTTTTGAACCCGTGTCTTTTGCAACCAAAAGCAGACACCTGATATCTCTTCGTCGACGCCATTGTGGAAAAGAGAGTTTCGTCCTCGACAGACGTTGTTGTTGTTGTTGTCTTCACATTAAAAACCATCCCGGTCTCTCTATCCAGTACCTCCTTCTGTCTCAATCTCTCCGTACTAATCCAGCACTTGACTCGGTCAATTTCCGTGGTCGCAGGCTAACGTACCTAGAAAAGGTATACCAAAATAAAATGAACCCCAAGGGTTAGCAGAGCGATAAAATACAAGAAAACAAAATAATCAGAAACAAATAAATAAATAAATAGTGGAACGTGCGCACCACCAGCCTGGGGGGAACATTGGGGAGTTTCAACCTTTATGAAGGTGTTCTCCACACTATGTATGTTTGGATGGCCCCTCAGAAGAACATCAGATCAATACAACACATTGTCGTCGCGCGTTTCTACAGACTATACGGGGGGAGACGGAAACTTACGAAACGGGCCTTCCGAGTTCACCGCAAAGTGGATTTGTTATGCTAGTATGATATACGCACAACACACGGATGGTGAGGAGCAACATCAGCCTATTGTAGCATGGGGAGCATATTCCTGCACGAACGAAGCGTGGATCTTGTCACGGTTACCCTACTGCAATTCAGATATGTATGTGTCGAAGCCCTGCTTCACAAGGCCGCAGCGTCAAACATCTGCATCTACAGTACCATGCCAGGCTGAGGGTGGGTTGCAACAACGGCGGTCCTGCCTTCTCGACCAGATGTATATCAGACTATCGACGTATCTACATGTGGTAGACATGTGGTACATGTTGCAGCATACATGGGCATGGGCGAACATGTTGCCACCAGCCGCCGAGGAAAATGTGATGGATCAGAAATTGCGAAGCTGGCTCACTTGTCGCTGCCTCACGGTGTGGACCCTCGCAGCGGATTACATCCAAACCACAACGCTTCCACCATGAAACGTCTACCCCATCAGCCATGGCCATCCCTAGGAGGTCGAAAACTCCCGTCATCTCGTCCGTTGCCCCTGCCAACTCTCTTCAGACCAGAGAGCCGGTGTCGTGGTCGTGATCTTCCTTCCCAAAACAAAGGCCTGGATTCTTCGCCTGAAGAATACAATACCCTCTGGTGAACACTGCCTAGATCGTCAGGCTGTGAGTGACCACTGATCATTCTTGACTTGGAAGAGGGGGGAGAAGCAGCAGGCCAAGAGGCAGAGCGTGCGGTGTGGGCGGCTCATGATATCCTGCATGCGGCTGCGCGAGGGGGTACGCGAATCGATCTCTGCCGTAAATGTTGGGCCGTAAATGTTCAACCATCATGCGGAGCCCCCAGCCTCTCAAGACAAGAGTCAAGCAGTGCACAGAGTGCAGTACGTTCTTCAGCTTGCTCAGCGCTGTAGTAGACAGAGCATTGTGAGCATCATCGAGTCATGAGAGGTTCCAGGAATAGAGGTGGTTTCGATAGATCCGCTGATGCCGGAGATATTAGATCGCGCAGCACGAGCTTTGAACACCACTTCCGCAGCCATGTAGCGTCTCCGACAAGCACGCCCAGCAGAGGCGGCCGACGGAGGCTGGAGGGGAGGTCTGTGCCTCGCGCAGGCGCTGAGGAGCCGGCAGTGACTTCGGATGGATCGACCATCTTCGCCTTGAGTGAGTCACTGCTGTGTAAGGTGGCAGCACGGAACTGCTTCTTCGTGTTCATCCAACACTGGTGCAGTAAATAGCAGTTGGGAGGATGCGGGCATTGAAGTCTCACCCATGACGCCGAGCTCTCCTCTCTCTCGCTGCACCCCCTGCTCGCGGTCAATGCGACCACCCATGCACCAGAGCGTGTGTACGTATCACTCAGCGCTCCCTCCTGTTTTAACTTGCACGACGAGAGGTCCCTCTGCTGCTCGCAGTGTTTGTTTGACTGCTTTCCCGTTGCCTACCCGCCTCCGTACCATTACAGAGTCGTTGAAGTGTTTGAAGTGTTTGAAGTCGTCAACCCACGAAGACGGCTCCCCCCCATATGCGTACAATGTTCCCCCGGCAACATCACATGTGCGGGGCGTGAACAGAGTTTTGCCGGGTGACGTCCATACCTGGCAGCATCGGGTCCTTTTTTCCAGGTTGGCGCGAAGTTGTTCCCGCAGAGGGATAGATTTCGCAGGGAATTCGGACAAGTTTTGTTGAACCTTCGTTGTCTTGGAAAGGGGTCGACAGCCGCAGCCTTGAATCGAAACGTAAGCGTCCCATCCAGAGTCAGTGCCGTCTGCAACCTACATACCCTACTGGAAGTCATTGACCCTGATCCGCGAGAGCCTTGGGGATTGTCGCTGCCCAAGGCTCAGATGTGAGTGCACTGGTCCAACCCTCAGCAGCCTGTGCCGACGACCGCTTGCACTAGTAGTCTTACCCACTCGCAACACCATCCACCGAACCAGGAGAAAGGGATGAACGACAACAGAGGGAGTACTGCGCGACGAACACACCACCTGCTGCACACAGGCAACACAAATTCAAGACGGGGACATTCATACAAACCACGACCCAAAGTTGTACCAACCGTTTCTTGATGACGGGTCCCACATGTCATCTGTAGTTTCTCTCGCGGCGGTTGGGGGGGGGGGGGGGGGGGGG